TGTGCTGTAGCAGAGTAGAGTGGTACTCTCCACTAAAGTTTGGTAGGTGTTTTTTTTTTTAATGCAGTTTCAGTTGACTTGAAACTTCATGATTGCCAAATAGTTTTGACCAAACCAAAAGACTCAATGTTTCAGTAATATTGAAACAAAATGTTTCCATGCAACTTTTTTTTGTTTCTAGACATTTTTGCAGAAGGATAAGATTCACAAAACATGGGGGAAGGAAACAGATCTCCATTATAGCCTTTAGCCTAGTGATTAGGGTGTTTGCTCTCCTGATATATGGGAGACTATGCTTCAGTTTTCCTCTGCCTAATGAAGAGAAAGAACATGAATTCAGATCTCAGGTTGTAGGAGATTGGCCTAACTACTGAACTATGGGATATACTGGTATTGCAGTCCATCAGTTTTTCCTGTTGAAGCACTTCTATTTTGTATAATTAAATAGTCAGTGGTAGAGGGTCTTTAATTTGGGTCCCCTACATGGCAGGTAAGTGCCCTAACTACCAGGCTTATATAGTCATTCTCACTTTCATTTCTTGGTCCAATGACTATTCATTGTCATTATGAATTGCTACTTTGAGTAACCCACTATGAATGAGCCAAAACTGATTGATTCAACCCAAAATGAAACTTTTTTTTTTCAGAATTGCCAATAAACTAAAAAATCCATTATTCCACCAGCTCTACTCACCACCTCCTTTTGCTTTTTGAATGGTTCTTGTGTGACAAGTGAATGTGATCACATGATAAATAATTTGCTGCATCTGAAATTTTGAAATAATCTATTATATAAACACTACATACATCAACTGAAAAAAAAATCATGTTTATCCATATCGTTTATTACACAGCTGTTGCATGCACACCACAGAGAAACAGAACCCACACAGGCATAAACACACACTGAAACACCAGGCACACCTTGGAAAACTGGATACATATTGGAAAACAACACAGAGAGAGGCACAAATCCCACAGAATAACACACGCAAAGCATAAAGAACACAAAATACATACATAGAATGCATACAGAAGGAGTAAATTTCTGTCTCCTAAAGTCCATCCACCGTAATCTTCCCTTTACTGCTTTCAGACGCAGGATGGCGCTCTTTGAATAAGCAATTATATCAAGGGCAACAAGCTCATATCTCGAGAACAAAACATTTCTTTTGAATACTGGTATTTCTTAGAGGCACTTTTTCACAGTTCAGCTAAGGCATGCAGTTACACTCTTATTTATTAGTAGTGTAGAGACGCTGTCACATTACTTTGGTTAAAGACTACGACAGGATTTCACCAATAAGTGTTTATAATACATCCAACGGCCATTCAGGTAGTATTTCAGTACGACAAATGCCAACTATTTCCCCCAGGTTTTTGTGTTAGTCGTTAGAGCTACTGTTAAAAGCAGTTTAATATAATTAAGTGTAGAAATCCAATTTCACTATAATGGCTCTTTATCTTCAAAAATAAAACGTGCTGCACCATATGGAGTGTGTTTATTTGAAACTGTCAATGCCAACCACAGGACCTATTTCTACATTTTAAATGGCACGTAGCCAAATCCTGATTAAGGTCACGATGAGGACTATTGACTCTGCAGACAGATGCTTTTCCCTTTCAGCACTCGAAGAAGAATCGCAATAACTGTATTCTTGGACCTTTCCAGTCTGAATAATTTCATACTTCAGCCAACTATTCATGGATTCACCAGAAGAATTACACCTACTACCTCCGGCGTAGGATGAAAACAAATCTCATCAGATGGGAAATAATGTTAGCAGAAGCTTGAAACCTTCGAGCCTAGATTCTGGAAGGATTTTTGACCTCTTTTCTTTTGGCTATCGGAAATGGACTAGGCGGTTATGCGAACTGGAATTCCAAGGCGCCAATTCCATCCTCTCGCCCCCCAAAAAACCCAGACTCATCTTTAGTCTCGCTGAACATAAATGATTCAGCAGAGCACGCTGCTCAAAGGCAATATTGTCCTATACTATTTTCACCTTTTTCCTGTTTCCGATTTGATTGTTAGATTTTGTTTACGATCCAACTACGTGGAAAACATATTTGCGCCCCCCCCCACCCCCCGACGGGTGCCAGCTGGTTTCATTGCAAATGAAAGTGAAAGTGTTTGGGCTACGTGTTGTATTATTTGATCTGTAAAGTCAGGGCTGAACGCATGTGGTTCGTGCGGGCCAAATGTTTGTTTTGTTGTCGTTTTTTTAGTGAAAGGCTGAGCTTTGGTTTTTGTTTTCTCTCTGCCTCCCAAGTTAGTTTTCATTGCTGCAGTCACTGATATTTCATGCAATGAACTTGCTTTAAAAAAAATACCCACCCTGTCAAGTACCAACGGATCGCTAATAATGCAACTTTTTGTAAAGCCTTTCACAGAGCCCAGGGTCAGTGAACAGACAGCAAATGAGCCGTTTTGAGAGATAAATCTTCAGACTGCTCTAGTTTCCTCTTTCGTGGTCATTCTTACTAGTAAAGAAGATAGAGTAGATATTATACACCTATGTCCCTATATGAAACACATGCACCAGTATATATAGTGTCAGAGCTATTACACAACCCTTTACAGAGCCACAGCTAACGATCTGTTTGCACATATTATGTGGATCTGATCAAAAAGCTTCTTTATAAGGGTCTTAACGTCTGTTTACTGGGGAGCCACTCTTTAATAAGACCCCTTTCCAAAGACTCCAACCAGCGCTCTGCAGCCTCACTTACACGCCTTCTGCCTCACCCCTCCCCCAGCCCCATTCATTGGGCTGCGGTGTTGTACAACTTGCAGCATTTTCGCTGGTTTTGCACTCACACTAGAGCACTGCAGCCCAGAGGGCTTGCCAGTGACATTAACTCATAGTCCTCCCCCCTGCCGCCCAGCCACAACACCCCAGCCTGGAGCTGTCTGTGGGGTGCCATGAGGCACGGGCAGGGCTGGAGGGCCAGGTTCTCTCCCATTCACTTAGAGGACAAGTTTACATTGTACCTTGTGAATGATTTTCGTCTGTCTCGCTTTTTCTTTCTTTTTTTTTTTTTTTTTTTTTTTTCCTTTTTGGTTACCCTGATTGTACCTCTGCATCCCCCTCCCCCTCCACGTGATGGGCCCGACATGCGCAGCAGCGCCAGGGGAGCCAGAGGCACATCTGCAGACTGACGTCAGTGTGCGCTCAGCCTCCCAGGCAAAGCTGCCAAAACTTCCCTCTGCTGCTGGAGCTCTAAACTTGGCTGCAGGCCGGCAGTGAGAAGAGACCTAGAGCTACTTCAACAAAACTTTCTTGAGTCCTCCCTGCCTGCTTTCTCTAGCTCCCTTTCTCTCTCTCACCCTCCAACTCTGATAAGATTCACATGGTACTTTGCCCAGAAGAAGGTGGCCAAGAAGAGGGTACTCACCCCCACCCCAAAATAAGTCTGTTTTCCTTTCTCCACCCCCCTCCCTTTTTTAACTTTTTCGGTTGGAAAGACAAAATGTGCAGGGTGATAGATTGGGTGAATTGATGGCATCCCTTTCTCTGCCAAGTCAGTCCGCTCTCTAAAAATCCCTTTTGGGAAGACTGGAGGATTTCACTTTGTTGGAGAATATAACTGGTGTGGCTTGAAAAAGGGGGAAAGCAGAGAGGAATACGGGACTCGTACAGTGCTATCTCTATTGTTTGAAATTTACTTTATATCAGAAATTGAAGATGAAAACGGTAAGAAAAGACTTCACGCTGTTCAATGAAACTTCTCCTTGTGCTTTTCTTGTCTGCTGAATAATGATGCATGTAGATCTTTTGGGGGTGGGGGAGGTTATACGGCACTAAGCGAGGTGGATTTGGAATAATTTCAGAGAGAAAAACCTTTGAGGCTGAGGATTACGAGAGGGGGAAGATATTTTCTATTGCAAAGAATAGTGTGATATTGTATAGAAAACCTTTTCAGGTTTAGACTAAAAAATTGGTGGAAAATAGTCAAAACCTTTTAAAAAAAAAAAAGATTCGATTAAAAAAAAACTCCAGTATTTTGTCGTGTCATGTCAGTGTCTACTTAAGCGGTCAGACAAGTGCATATTTTGTGTCTGGACTCAAAGGGTCCGCATTAATGTGATAGCTGCAGCCTGATGCTCTAGGAGATGTTAAGCTCTTAATAGGCTAATCAGCGAGATGGAAGCGTGTGTTTTTGATTTACTTCGAGCCATTTGGGATTTGCTAGACTCTTAACCCCACGGAGCCTTATTTATCGGTGTGTGGCTACGTATATATTGCATGGCACACAGTTCAAAGGATTTTTTTTTTTTGGAGGGGGAATAATTGAAATCCCGCTTCCTGATAATGTGTGTATAGTTCTTGTATTTGCTAATTTCTTTAATCGTACAAGAGGAAAAAGAGAAACACACACACAGAGCGAGCGTCTCAGACTCTTGTTTTTATTTGGGCTGCCGGTGCAACGCATTTGGGCCACATGCCAAGTGTCTGGGTCACACGCGTTTTATCCAAATAGATTTAGCGCTGCTGTCTGGAAATGAGCTGCTGAATGTTAACTTTAGGATCAACTCCACCAGAGCAGCTAGACTCTTCCCTTCAGTCTCTCTGGGGAAGAGAATTGTTCTTTATAATTGTGTGTGTGTGTGATTATCTCTAATTTTCTTTCATGCTGATATTTCATGTGAGGTTATTTTAAAGAATATTTTTAGTTGCTAGTCCGGGTTTTTAGACATAAAACTGACAGCTGATCCCCCTAGAAAGTTTGGCATGACTTGAGGGAGGAGTGGGGCAGACTAGGAGGAAAATGCCGTTCAGATAACTGCAGTTTTGTTTCTCCCCCAAGGTGGTCGCTGATCTGGTGGTTTACATTACAACATACACAGCAGCACTTTGGTTGTTCCTGCTTTGGTTTTTGATTAATAAGTGGGTTGCAAAGCCCCCTCTTTCCCTTTGTGTTTTACTTTTCTTGCATTTTCTCCTCCCCCACACATTTCTTTTCAACAAGCCCTCTAACTCCCAGGGACAAATCTCTCTCTAATCCTCGGGCTTTTGAAGCAGGGCAATGCTTTTCATGGCTAGCCCAATACCTGTAATTGAATTTGTTTTTGTTTTATTCCCACCCCCTCCCTGTCCTCTTTTGCCCCTCCCGCCGCATTTCCTTAGCAACCAATCATACTACCAGTGATCACTGACTGCTCCTGTCCTTTCAAGACACAGCTCTGTCCCAAGTCTTACCCGTCTCTGTGACTTGCGTGTGAGAAGTAGCGAACGGGAGTGAGCGGAAGGAAGGGGGAGGGGTTGCACCTTGATCAGTATAGAACACGACCGTAGACCAAACAATGTTTGCTCCTTACCCAAAGATATAGCTGACGACCAACCATGTGTGTCTAACCTGAAGATTGCTCAGGAAGCGAGAGACGTTACTCCTGAGGAGAGGAGATGTGGTTTATCTTTGTGATCAGCAATAACTGTAGGTTATTTTTAGCTGTAGGCATAACTTCCAAATATGTCATTTCCCTCAATTTCTTCTACGTGGGCCTCTTTACTGATAATGCCTGATCCCCCACCCCCAAACTGAAACCTGTGGTTTGTTTATTGACATACCCTAATGTCGTTTAATGAGAGGTTATTACTGGACCTCAGGTGCTGCCGCAAGACCTAATACCGTCCGAGGACAGATTTAGCCTGGAGATGCTGTTTAGGATGAACAGCTGCTGTGGGAGAACAGTTTGAGCTTGGCGTCCCAGTGATGACTGAGCGGAGGCAGCTCCGCACTGTTGCCAGCGGCAGAGGCTGAGGGGAGGGGGAAGGACATGGGCGGGGGCTCTACCTATCTCATGAGACGTGTGCCTCTTATTAGGTCACGGGAGGGAGTCCCTGAGTTCACCTACACACCCGCTGAAAGTACAGGATGGTTGCCTCTAGGAAGTCGAAACCAAAGCTCCCTGGACCACAGTGAGCCTGCAGCGGGACAAGTAGTACCACGTGTGGCTCCGTCTCTACAAACTCGCCCTCACTGAGTGAAAAAGGAAACCCGTGTGTGTCATTGTAGCTATATGGTGTTATGGCCACGCATCGTTATTGCATTTGAACAGTAGCATAACAAGGAAGAAGAAATGGAAGTTTGGAACCAGTGGAAGGCTGCTAAACCGATCACCCCATAGCCCACAGAGCTCCCTGCTGTGTGCACTGTTTTTACCAGCTCTATCTGATTTCGAAATACTTCTTGCATCTTTTCCTTCACCACTCTAGCATAGCGTTTTCATGTATGTGGTAGCTGTTGCATTTTGATAAATGTTAAGAAAATGAAATCACAAACTATTACCTTGGATATGCATATAGTTCATTCCCTATACAATTTATTTATTTATTAATGAAGATTTAGGGCTGACAAAAGGTATCAGCTTGATAGCAGTGGAGACTGAAATCCTCAATTTATTCACAGAACAGGTATGCTATAGCCAGTGGAAACTTGTACACACTTCCCCAGCTTTGGAAGGACCAGTCTAGGGTTGAGAGTGTGGTTCAGCCTCCATGTCCATTCTCAGTCTTAAGGCTTGGAGCAGTAGTAAAAACACCTATGGCCTGTTCAGATAGTGCGTACACCAACTGCAATGCTGCTGGAAAACAGACTCAAAAGTCGGTGACATTTCCATCAAGTGTACTAACTCTCTTGGGGATCTTGTTGTGTGAACAATTGTCCCTTAAAGTATAGTAAGGGGACTATTCAGGACTTTCACTACACTGTAGCAATGTCCACATAGGATGTTACTGCATTGTAAGCTGTCACACAGTAGATTCACACCTTGGCTTGCCATGTAGACAAGCCCTTAGACTGAGACCATCAACCTGTTTCACGCAGGCCACTGAAAATACATTAAATAATAATATATTTTGGCTACTACTACTGACCAATGTTAATTTGAACAAGTGACCTAGAGGTAAAAGGTACCATATCTTACAAGTAGTATTCTGAGCCATCTAGTCCCCTTTGACTGTACAGTTGAAGGAGACTGTGCTGTTAGGACAATACATCATACACACAGACAGAATATGAGCTCCCTACTGTGATGCTGTGGCTAAGAGGACTGATGTGATCCTTGCATTTATAAAGAGGGGAATATCAAATAGGAGTCGAGAGGTGATATTAATTCTGTATACAGCATTCACGAGACCATTACTGGAATACAGTATCCAGTTTTGGTTATCCACACTTTAAAAAAGATGTTGACAAACTGGAAAGGGTTCAGAAAAGAGCTACAGAATTATTAGAGGCCGGAAAAACCTGCCTGACAGTGAGAGATTTAAGAAGCTCAATGGAAATGTAGACATGTAGGGCTGGAAGGGACCTCGAGAGGTCGTCAAGTCCAGTCCCCTGCGCTGAGGCAGGACTAAGTAAACCTAGACCATCCCTAACAAGTATTTGTCCAATTTGGTCTTAAAATCCTCCAATGATGGGGATTCCACAGCCTTCCTTGGAAGACTATTCCAGAACTTAACTATTATAGTTAGAAAGTTTTTCCTAATATGTAACCTAAATCTCCCTTGCTGCAGACTAAACCCACTATGTATTGTCCCACCTTCAGTGGACATGGAGAACAATTAATCACTGTCCTCTATTGCCTTAACATGTTTGAAGACTGTTACCAGGTCATCCCTCAGTCTTCTTTTCTCAAGACTAAGCATGCCTAGTTTTTTTTTAACCTTTTCTGATAGGTCAAGTACTCCAGCTGAGGCTTCACCAGTGATGAGTAGAGTGGGACAGTTACTGCCCAAATGACGCTCCTGTTAATAGACTCCAAAATAATATTAGCCTTTTTTCACAGCTGCATCACATTGTTGAATCATATTCAATTTGTGATCCACTGTAACCCCCAGATCCTTTTCAGCAGTACTACTACCTAGCCAGTAATTCCCCATTTTCTAGTTGTGCATTTGATTTTTCCTTCCTACATGTAGTATTTTGAACTTGTCTTCACTGAATTTCATTTAGTTGATTTCATACCAATTCTCCAATTGTCAAGATCATTTTGAATTCTAATCCTATCCTCCAAAGTTCTTGCAACCTTTCCCAGCTTGATGTCATCCACAAATTTTATAAGCATACTCTCTATTCCATTATCCAAGTCATTAATGAAATTTTGAATAGTACCTGACCCAGGACTGACCCCTGCAGGACTGCATAGATCAGGGGTAGGCAACCAACGGCACGTGTGCTGAAGGCAGCACGTGAGCTGATTTTCAGTGGCACTCACACTGCCTGGGTCCTGGCCACTGGTCCAGGGGCCTCTGCATTTTAATTTAATTTTAAATTAAGCTGCTTAAACATTTTTAAAAACCTTATTTACTTTACATAAAACAATAATAGTCTTGTTATATATTATAGACTCATAAAAAGAGAACGTCTAAAAACGTTAAAATGTATTAATGGCACGCAAAACCTTAAATTAGAGTGAATAAATGAAGACTTGGCACACCACTTCTGAAAGGTTTCCAACCCCTGGAATAGATTCATCCTCCAAGTTTGACAGAGAATCATTGATAACTACTCTTTGAGTATGGTCTTTCAATCAGTTGTGCACCCACCTTATAGAAATTTAATTCACAATATTTCCCTAGTTTGCTTATGAGAATCTCATCTGGGCCTGTGTTAAAAGACTTACAAAATCAAGATATATCATGTCTACAGCTTTCCCCCATCCACTAGGCCAGTAACCACATCAAAGAAGGAAATTAGATTTGTTCTTGACAAATCTGTGGTGGCCAGTGCTATAACCCTATTATTCTTTATGTGCTTACAAATTATTTAATAATTTGTTCCAGGTATTAAAAGTTAGATTCCCTGAGCCCTCTTCGTTCTCCTTTTTTAAGATCTGTACAACATTTGCCATTCTCCAGTCTTTTGGGACCTCACTTGTCCTGTGAGTTCTTGAAGATAATTGCTAATGGTTCCGTGATTGCTTCAGCTAGTTCCCTAACTACCCTAGGATGAATTTAATCAAACCTTGCCAACTTGAATGCATCTGACTTGTCTAAATATTTTTAATGTGTTCTTTCTCTCTTTTGCTTGTGTTCCTTCCCTCTTGTTATATTAATTATGTTGAATATCTAGTCACCATTAACCTTTTACAGTGAAAACTGAAGCAAAATAGGCATTAAACACCTCAGCCTTCTTGATTTAATCAGTTATTAGTGCTCCTTCTCTGCTAAGTAGAGGACCTACGCTTTTCTTCATCTTTCTCTTGCTCCTTATGTATTTAACGAGCCTGTTCTTATTACCTTTTATGTCCTTTGCTCGGTGTAACTCATTTTGTGGCTTAACCTTTCTGATTTTGCCCCTACATACTTGTGCTATTATTTTGTTCCCTACGTAGCAATTTGTCCATTTGTTTCTACTTTTTTAGGATTCCTTGTTGATTTTCAGGTCTTTAAAGAGCTCCTGATGGAGCCATAGTTTATCAAAAAGAAGATTAAGAGGCAATTTGATCAGAGTCTATCAGTACCTGCATTGGAGAAGATTTCTGATAGTTAGAGGGCTCTTTAATCACAGACAAAGACAGAACATAATCCAGTGGCTAGATATTGAAGCTAGACAAATCCAAATTGGAAGTAAGATACACTTTTTAATACTGAGGGTAACTAACCATTGGAGCAATTTATCTAAGAATGTGGTGGATTTATCATCTCTTGAAATCTTCAAATCAAGATTAACTATCTATCTAAAACATAAACTGTAGTTTAACCAAGTGGTTTTAATAAACAACATGTTTCTAAATGAATTCTAAGGCCAGTGTTCTACAGGCAGTCAGATTAGATGCTCATTATGGTCCTTTCGGGGCTTAAAATCTGAGTTACAACACTAAATCCCCCTGTTCTCTCTGAAAAAAACCTTACTAGCTTAGACTTGCCATTTACTTGAAAAGTATCCTTTAATCTCACTGTTATTTCCTCCTCATACCATAATTAAATACTATATGCTATTTTGAGAAGAAAGCTAAAATAACAATATAATGTGTATAATATGTAGCAATAATTAGCTACAATTTAAACACTGGCTACAGAACATGGCTAGTCTTCACTACAGTGCTAATAAATAAATTGACCTAACTAAATGTTGAGTTGGTTGAGAAATTTGTTGTACACTGTGATGAAGCAGAGAAACTGCCAACCAGCACAGCAGGGGTTAAAGAGAGTCTTTGGGCCCAACTAGCTCTGCCCTGTTATACCTGCAGCCAATGCCAGGCCTGGAGCGGGGAAAAAAGGAGAGAGCCTGGCTCACTTCGGGGCTCAGTTTGGCAAAGAGGCAGGAGCCAGCTGCCTCCCTACCTGAGGGGAAGGAGCACTAGCCCACTAGCCAAGGAAGCCCCCAGGCAATAAACGCTGTTTCCTCAGACAAGGGAGATTGCGAGGAAGACTTAGGACCCTCCAGCACCTGAGGTAACTGAGTGAGCGAACCCCAGTGACATTGTGGGGCTCGCCCTCACCAACTTCCGGCTGCCCTGCCCGAAGGAGCTTGGGACTGTGGCAAGGTGCTGCCCAAGACCCACGAGGGGACCCTATAGGAAGCAAGCTGCCCAGCAAATTGTTCTAGCAGGGCCATGCACCAAACTGAACAGACTGGTAGGAAGTAACCCAGGACAGCGGTTTTTGACTCCCTGCTGGGAGGGCCTTGCCCTGTTAAGGGGTTGATGTACACAGGGTCCTGGACTGGGACCCGGTGGAGCGGGAGGGCCTGGGTCCCCCTATCATCCCCTGGCCTTAAAGTCTGAGTCTCCTCAACCAAACTGGGCTGAGAGCCATGTGCTCTAACGACTAGGCCGCTTGGCCCTCTAAGCTACCTGTTACATACACTTTGAACAGTGCTGGACATTATGATCTTGATTCTGTAACCTTTACTCATGCAAGTAATTTCATTGACTTCAATAGGACTTTTTGTGTGAGTAAAAGCTGTAAGAGCAGACGTTCTGTTTTGCTACAATTCTGAGGTAACATAAGTTCCTTCCAGCTGTAGATGTTAGTGACTTCATATGGTGTTGGGTATTTTTATTTAAGATGTTTTCAACCTTTCATGTGTTTTGTTGTGACTACTGGCAGACCCACAGAGCCCGGTGTGAGGCAGGTGTTACAGATTGCTGTATAAAATTTTAAGACCAGCATTTTATTCAAAACAAAATAATGGGTAAATTGTAATGTCATTATCAACAATTTGTACAGTTCCCAGCATACTAAAATTATTAAAGTATGTACAAATACATTCAATGATGAGCTGTATGTACAAAATGTCTTTGCTAATATTTAAAACACAAAATTAATGCAATTAATAATTTCAAATAATTAACTTAATTCTCTAGCAGAAACACATGGGAAACTTCCATTGAAGTTAAACTGAATTTTCCCTGCATAAGGGGTTCAGGGTGAGCCCTGAATGAATAATAATAATAATAACGTTCATGTTGTAGATCAGATAACCACACATTTCTCTGTCAGAAAACGTTATGATGCATTCCCAGGTTCTTCCTTTGTCTGCCAGCATATTGGGTCTAATTATCCACTATTGAAATCAATCAAAACATTGCACTGACTACAGTGAGCCAAGCATTTATATTTAAAGCAATATGTTTGGCTTTGTAAATGTTTGTTAAAGCCCTGATCCCGTAAACACTTACATACATCAATTGGGTAAGTAGTTCCACTGAATTCAATAAGAATGACATGTGCTTAAAGTGTGTGTATAAGTTTCTGCAGGATTGGGGCCTTAGACCATACAAGCAACAATGTTCAAATTTGATTACCAACTATGTAGTAATTCATGACACTTGGATAGCATTTTTGCAGTATAGATCTTCCAATTTAAAGTAGACCTTACTTTGACATGCCTTTTTTTTTCTTTTTTTAGGTAAAGAAGTGGACAAAGTTTAATAACTATCAAGTCTGACACCTTATTGATATCTAAAGGAATTTTACAACATACTTGTTTTTGAACTGAGAAAATGACTGCAGATATAGAAGAAAGCACAGGTTGTTGGAAAAGAGTACCTGTCAAAAAGTGGAACATCCAATAATTATTTTGGAAGAAATATAAAATAAATATCCCTGTTATGGTGCGATTCTGGAGTGGAGTTAACTCTATAGCACATAGGTAGCCCTCCAAAAAAACCCAAACCCTTTCTGTTTTTCTAAATTATGGAAATTTTGTGGAAGACGTTGACCTGGATTTTGAGCCTAGTCATGGCTTCATCGGAATTTCACAGTGACAACAGGCTTTCATATAATTCTCAAGGTAGGGGTCCCACTTTTATAGCTGGAAAGATATATCCCTTTTGCACTAATTTCAGGTAATGCTTTCCTAAGCCATTGTTATATAAATAGCTAGTAATCATATTGACACTTATGTAGTTTTCTCATGATTTATTATCATGAAAGTCAGGGGTGTTGGAACAATTTGTATAGTGGGGGTGCTGAGCGCCATTGAGCCAAACTGTAAATCCTGTATATGACGGAAACCACTTCAAGCCAGGGGGTGTGACAGCACTCCCAGCACTCCTAGTTCCAGCACCTATGATGAAAGTTCATTTACAGAGAAACCCATTAGGTCAAAGTGTATCTTGAGACTGATGTTTTAATTTCTTTTATTTCTAACTTTAACTATAACAAAGTCCCGCAAATTAAATTTAATTATAGAATCATAGACTTTAAGGTCAGAAGGGGCCATTATGATCATCTAGTCTGACCTCCTGCACAATGCAGGCCACAGAATCTCACCCACCCACTCCTGTATCAAACCTGTGTCTGAGCCATTGAAGTCCTCAAATCATGGTTTAAAGACTTCAAGGTGCAGAGAATAGCACGTTAAAGACTGGCCATGATCTCATAAACATTTTTTAAAATTGCAGAAACTATAAGAGTCTAAAACATATCTTGAAATATTTGCATTTGTAGCCTTTTTTAGTGAAATGAGGACACATTTAAATGATTTTGCAAAGATAGTTTTTCATTGCAACTGTTTTTATTTTTGCAGGTGGATCTAATAGTTTTTGTCTTTAAATGAAATCATTGGTAGATGTACATTCTTCACAGTGTAGAATGTAGCCCCAAATGTTTACATAGTAGGTTAAATAGGAAAAATATATAGTGAATTTGAAATATTTGCATTTCTAGTGACAGCAAATTAACAGGGACCTGCGTGAATTTTGCTGACTCTTTTTAAAAAATAGAATATTTTCCTTGATTTTTATTTAGCAAAGCTTTTCACCTTGCATATACCTGAAATCAACTTTCACTCATGAGGGTGATTGGATTTAGCCAACTGTGGTTAATGTTTATACTACTACTTGTTGTTTCCTGTTATATTTTCTTTTCTTTTATGCCCATTTCCTGGACTGGCTTACCTTGTGATTACAAAGAGGAATTCCTGTCTTACCTTGAACATTACCAGCTAACAGTCCCAATAAGGGTTGATCAAAATGGAGCCTTCCTCAGCTTTACTGTGAAAGATGATGAACCCTCAAGCAGAAGGAAGAGGAGTACAGACCTTTATGACCAAGCATCTAAATTATTTTTTAAACTTTCTGCCTATGGCAAGCACTTTCATTTAAACCTGATTCTCAACACAGATTTGGTGTCCAAACATTTTACAGTAGAATACTGGGGGAAAGATGGACCTAAATGGAAACATGATTTGTTAGACCACTGTCATTACACAGGATATTTGCAAGACCAACATAGCACAACTAAAGTGGCTTTAAGCAACTGCAATGGTCTGGTAAGTGCATGTTATATATTTTAGTGTACTTTCCCCTTTAAAATATAGAGGAAGAACTTAATTAGCGTATGTTCATGTTCTTTGAGTTCCTGCAAGAAGCAAACACACAGAAAGGCAAGGAACTGAGTTCTGGCTCCTGAGGAAAAGTACTTATTCTAAGTACTAAGGCCCAGTCCTGTAGTCCTATTTCAGACAAAATTTTAGTGCTGCCAGTGCCTGTATTAGGGCTGCAAGATTAGTTATGGAGTGAGATTAGATTTGTCAGGACTGTTGCAAACTCCAGGAATAAAATTGACTGGTCTTATGGGTGCTGAGTGCCTTTTGCAAAGGACTGACTGGCATGAACTTCCAGTTCAGGGTGTATAGCACCTCTCAGTATTGTGTCCAAAAGGCCTGAAATAAATAATGAGGAAGGAAAACTCTCTGGCCTAGAAGTCTTCTGTGCTACAGTCCCAAGGAGTGAACAGGAAAGCAGAATCCTTTGCAAATAGAAAAGCCACAAAGTAATTATTTACATTTTTTACAGGATCTTTATATTTATAAATCAAATAAAAATGCTTTAAAGTAACAGTAGTGTTAGAAATCCAAGTATTTACAATGGTTTTTGAAAAAATTTCTCTCATTGTTGATGAAACTCTTGGTCATTCAGCACTAGTTCTTATATGGAAAAAGTCTTACTCCCTAATACTATAATTGAAGCCTAAAAATAACAATAGGCTAGGGAATTACAAAGTGATAAAATAAAAGATCATGATTGGGAAGTACTAAACCAAGAGTCTACTGAGTGCTGTAGTAAATTTTAAAATACATGTTGCTATTATCCACTGCAAAAATATTATTATTTTACTGTTTCTATTACAGTAGCCTGTAGAGGCCCCAACAAAGATTAGGATTTTATTGTATTAGGTCAAGAATGTTGAAATGTTTTTTTCTCTGAATTACTTTGAGCACTTCCTTTTTTCCCCTGCAGGTGTCATAGAATAATACATCCTGTGATATTCATTGATAACAAAAGTCTACTATTACAGTGCAGAGTGCCAGACGATAACCTAGCTAACTAGATAGATTGAAGTTAACTTAGCTAATTGTATCTGTGTTATCAGAGTGATGCATTCTGGGGCACTTCTCCCCCAGAAGGATTTCAAGAGGGAAAGTCAAATTTAAGAAGCTTAGTTAAAATGTATTTCTGTGTTTAAATGCATCCACAGCCTGGTGAGTGGGGGCATACAATACATGTTTCTGGGCTTAACTTCAATTTCACTTTACCTTTGCAGTTCATCTTTAAGGATGTGTCTTATGCTAATACACTGAGTTATTGGCATGTAGATTGTATTCTAAAGATACTGTAGTGACTGGAGCTCCACTTTTGGGTCTCAGCTTGCTAGTGTACATGCCCGAATGCCCCGACACTCAGAAATGTTTGCCCTTTGAGGCACAGGCTGGCTCACCTCATTTTGAGATCAACGGACAGTGCCTTAGAGCCCTTCTGGACATTCCATTTTTGTTCCTGTCTGGTCTTGGCCAGCTCACAAGCTCCCTGTCAGAGCTGGGGTCGTTGTAGATGATCCCTGTTGTCTGCCACGCCTACAGACTTCGACACTGATGTTGACACCATTTCTATACCATTTGATTTCTCCTCTAGCCATCTCATTCGCCGGTGCTAGCTTTCCTTCAAAGTTTTTAGCTGCATAGCTGGGGACATCTTGAGGTTATTGGCATCTCCTTGAGATAGGGAGCTCCTTTTGACTTGCATGGTTCACATGCTCCAGTGTCTTCAGCAGGTGTCTGTTGGTCACTGGCCTTGTCACTTCCCTCAGTCATTCCTCTGGCTTCTCAGTAGGTTGATAGTCTCAGTGTTTTGTCAGTAGTTTGACCTTCTCAGCACACTGTGCTTCCAGAGCGTTGACGCCTAACTTTAAGTGTCAGGTTTCCCGTTTAATTCATTATCTTTGGTGTCTGGCTATTGACGCTTGTTCAGTATTTCTTCCAACCAGGGCTGGATTAAGGTAATTCTGGGTCCCCAAGCACACCACAAATGGGGATTCTCAAGGCCTATTCTCTTGTGGGCCTGCCCCTCACCAGGGTCATGTCTCCTACTTCGAATGGCAGCGTCACAAAGCCCACTACCCCTCCCAGAAAGGCCGAGACAGTGGCATGGGGCTCCTTTCACTCCCCAGAAGCAGGAGCAGGGGTGGAAGTAAGGCTCTCTTTCCCCTTCTCTTTTTAAAAGAGGTGGGGACCCTCCAGAACTTACACTTCAGCTGTTGGGATATCTCACTGCACTCTTGGCTGGGCTCACTGCACACTTCTCCTGCCAAACAGAGACTCCTTTGCTGGATAATATTGGCAGGGCCCTCCAGAGTAGTGGATTTTGGAGTTAACACCCCATTCAGATGAACCCATCCCACAGCTATTTTTTCAGGCTCTCTGCCATTTCAGGCAGAAGTCACTGAATCAGTTACAGTCACGTCATATTTTCAAACTTTTCCTTCCCACCACTGGGAGTAGAAACTTCCCTTCTTACATTGAAAGCTTACATTCTACTGTAATCACAAATCTCCAGGAGCTGAGGCTCTAGCCTGTGCCTTAATCTTGCCTTGCTTCTAGTTCTCCCAGCATCTGTTTTTTGGGGGAAATTTGGGAAGTCTCCATCATTCTCTGGACTGTCTGAAACTATTTTGTATAGTTCTTTTATTCCTCTAAAACTGGGGTTTTTGGAGACTGCCCTGTGGTTTTTAGCCTCTAAGAGTAGGAACCAAGTCAGTGTGATAAAGAAAGAATAATTACTTATTGACAATTCTGCTTCTCTGGAGAGGTCATTTGTTTGAATTCCTACATGCCTTCCTCCTCTTAGATATGTGGATGGGCCTACATTTTCAATTACTAATTTTTTTTTCCTGAAAGTTTCCTCCTATCACAAATAGCCTTTGGTATCTATTATATTTTGAATGTGAGGAGCCTTGTTTTTCCCCTCCTCAAGGAACTAAAACAAAATGTTCTTGAAGGTATTGAGGCACTAGCATTTGATCTTAGAATAAGGCTGTGCCTGAGAGGCCCAGATGCCTTTGAGACAATTCTACCCTGTCCCAGGCTGGCAAGCTGAGACCCAAGAGTAGGAATACAGTCAAATGATATCTTCAGGGAAACAGAATTACAGGTGAGCAATTATTCCTTTTCCAAGAGTCTCAGTTTAAAGTCTCACTTTAGTAAACATGTCATGAATATGGAGAAATAAGTCTCTAATGGAGTAAGGGGAGATGTTTTTACTGAGCTACTTCCAAGGTATAATGGCAAGAAAGCCTCATTCTGTTGTTGTAAGAAAAATATTTTTTGTTCATTACAACCTGTCATTTTCAAAGTAACACACACTAAGTTCATAAAGACCCTGTTTAGAAGTGCAAACAGAGAGTAATATTATATACTGTCATTTCTTCTATCCTAACATTTCATAGGATTCATATTAATAGAGTTTAAGACCAGAAGGGACTATTAGATCATCTAGTCTGACCTCCTGCATATCAGAGGCCCTTAAATTTCACCCAGTTACTTCTGCACTGAGGTCAATAACTTGTATTTGACTAAAGTTGCGTTAACGCATAATTTCCAGAAAGGCATCCAGCTTGGATTTGAAGACATCAAGAAATGGAGAATCCACAGCTTTCATTGGTAGTCTGTTTCAATGGTTAATCACCCTCACTGGTAAATGTGGGCCTTATTTACAATACGTATTTGTCTGGCTTCAGCTTCCAGCCATTGGTTCTTGTTACGTCTTTCTTTGTTAAGTTTAAGGAGTCCTTTAGTACCTGGTATTTTCTCCCACTTGATCCCATTCTGATCAAGTCACCTCTCATTCTTCTTTTTGATAAGCTAAGCAGTTCTTTAAGTCTCTAACTGTAAGGCATTTTCTCCAGCCTCGGAATCATTTTTTAGACTCCTTTCTGCACCGTTGTCAAGCAACATCCTTTAAAAATGCAGAGACTAGAACTGTGCATGGTATTCTGGTGCCAGTCTCAACAAAGCAGTATACAGAGGAGAAATCCTCTCTATACTCCTCCTTACTACTTCCCTGTTTATAAACTGAAGGATCACATTGGCCCTTTTTGTGACAGCATCTGGTACTGGGAGCTCATGTTGAGTTGCTCACCCACCTTGTCCATCTTTTAAAGTAATTACCATTTAACACAACCAAATATTTTCATAGACGTGAAATCAATTTTAAATATGACACTTTGGATGACATTTAAAAATATTATTTGATTTATGAAGATTAAAACCCAGACCATATCCTGTTCTAGATCTGTCTGAGTGGAGTTCCCTTTGATGGAAATGGGTATTTCGTGTGTGGGCTTAGCTTTCACAAGATCCTATAAAGGCTGTCCTGTGTGTGTATGTAATTACTGGGAAATGAGCACACACATACAAACATAGTCATTTGCAGCATGAATGTGCAACTATCTATGTACTGTGCAAGAACGGTTGAGGAGTGGGTGGAGCTGTATTTATGTTGGCACATTTGTAACTTTCAGTGGAAAATTGTGTAGGAAGCTTCCATTATTGTCAAGCAACAATACATATGTGTACAAATTAAAGTAGAAAAGCTACTATTTACTCAGTTGCTAAAATGCTTTTAGATGTGTGGATTAGAAAGTCTCAGAAAGAGCAAAGTCAATACAGGGAGCAAACTATGGCTACATATACAGTAGCAGCTGGTGAGGTGATTCCCCTGCTCGTGTGCACAAACGCGCACAGCTCAGTGAGAGCTAGCGTGAATCTAAATAGCAGGGTAGCTGTAGTAGCACAGGTAGCAGCAGTGGCTAGCTCTGTGAGAGCTAGTGTGAGTATCTGTACATGAGCAGGGGAATCATACCCCTAGCTTGTAGTGTAGAAATAGCCTAATTCACAGAAATACATTATTTATTCATGTCTTGTCCTCACAGAAGAACAAGAGAAAAGCAACATGTTGGGCCTCTTCGGGAAGATATGACAAGTCAGATATTAAT